CCTTGAATGCAAAGTTTCACCCATTAAAGAACCCAGTGATAAGCCACGAATCTCTATAATTCCCTTATCTCGACTTATACGAAACGAACTCATCGAATTAACGGATGACTCAAGTGTAGCCGAGCTCGAAGATGCGCCTGCACCCGTAATAGCTACGAGTACACCAACCAAACGCGTCTGCCGACCTAATCTTGTGAAGAGACGTCGACAAATTTCGACTTGTAGCAACTCCAGTGGTACCACAGAAAATCTGATTGAAAAGGTTGCCGGTATGGATAAGTTCGGCATCAAGCAGGTAATAAACAACAGTGGAACACGCTTCGATGAGGCGTTAAAAGCGCAGGCACGCAAACGTTTGCGCGAAGAGATACGCAAGCAGTTGAAGTCAATGAATCTGGAAGCGGCAAAGGATTCAGAGGATGTAAACTTTGTGCCCGATGATATTGTCGATGCTATATGTATACCAGATATAGTATTGGAGGAGATACGTAAAGCTTTTGGCATAGAGATATTTTATAAAAAAGACGCGCAGCCAACAGATAATCCACTGGACGAAAGCGCCGCAAATGTAGTCGAAATCGCTGTAGGCGAAGGGGGGAATGTTACGGCAATAAATGCCTCGCCACCACTACAGGAAAGTCTTGTGGAGACGACGTCAACAGCAGTGCAGCCAGTAGTAGAAAGTGTTGCTGATAATGCGAAAAAAGACGCTGCAAAAGAGACAACAACACAAAATGAAGTGGGACAAACAATGCAAAATGAAGTCGCACAAACAATGCAAAATGAAGTAGGACAAACAGCACCACAACCAACACATAGTTGCCACAACGAGCAGGCGGTAATCGAAGACCAAAAAGATCCAAAGCTAACGGAAACAGTTAAAGCGCCTACGGCGGCTGAAGGCGAAAAAAAGCCAACGGAAAAACTTACAAAGAAGCACCAAAGTTCGACGTCGCGGAAACATAGTCGCAAAAAGACGCTCAAAGATGTAATACTGGTCGAATCGTCATCCTCTTCGAGCAGTACGTCTTCTTCCAGCTCCAGCTCGAGTAGCAGTTCCGATAGTGAATCTGAGACTTCAGCCAGAAGTGTTTCATCATCGGTCAAACGTCGACGACTAAAACTGCGTGTAGATGCGCAAAATGTTGTCGAAAGCTTTGAGAAGCTCATATTGCCCAGCATCAGCGAGAGTTTGAAAGCTCGTTACCGCAATAAATTTTCGAACTCCACATATACGCGCCTACATTTCATCTCGTGCATCTGTACCAGCGAATATAATACGCGAAAATTCACTAAACCTGAAATTGCGAAAATACAATCCAATTTAAAATCAGAGGATCGCACTGTTGCTTTGGAGTTTCTTATGCGTGAAATCGTCAGTGTTTTCAACAAGCAGAAAGAGGCAGCAAAAAGAGAGCGTGGCAGTAACAGAACAAGAAAGGAGACCGAAAGTAGTCCTGACAAGCCGCAATCAAGCAGGGCACAAGCAGAAGTTATGAACCGACGGTATGACGCAGGCGGCGATAAAGCTAATGGAATTTCCAAACAACAAGCAGTTAAAGGCAGCAGCAGCAGCAGCAGTCGTAGTCGCAGCGGCAGCGGCAGCGGCAGCAGCNATATGAGCCGACGGTATGACGCAGGCGGCGATAAAGCTAATGGAATTTCCAAACAACAAGCAGTTAAAGGCAGCAGCAGCAGCAGTCGTAGTCGCAGCGGCAGCGGCAGCGGCAGCAGCAATAAGAAAAGTGCCAATGCAGCAGAAAAAAATGATGTTGGAAAAAATTACGTGCAATCACAACGAACACCAGTGCCATCACCAACGAAAAATCCACATCAAAGTGTGAATAGCCAAGCATTAATGAACACAAGCGCGTCAGATGGGGTAAGAAGGAAAAGTGCTGNCAATAAGAAAAGTGCCAATGCAGCAGAAAAAAATGATGTTGGAAAAAATTACGTGCAATCACAGCGAACACCAGTGCCATCACCAACGAAAAATCCACATCAAAGTGTGAATAGCCAAGCATTAATGAACACAAGCGCGTCAGATGGGGTAAGAAGGAAAAGTGCTGGCAATGCAAAAACCGCAGATGAGGCGGCGGCGGCGGCTGGTGGTGGGAGGCGTAAAACAAGCGCAGATACAGCCGCTGAAACGCGCAACAATTTACATGAAATGAGCAACACCACTAATCAAGAAGATTCTAATGGCAAATCGTTGGCGAGTGCGACAACACGTCAGCAGCTGCCGACTACTACCAGCACCACAATCACCACCACCAACGCCGAAGGTATTGCAACAGCGTATGAACAACAATTACACAATAGCATTTTCGAAAGCGCCAACACTGCCGCGCCGTTAAATGAGTCGAGCAGCAGCATAGGCCTGCATTCTCCACCCGCTAATCGCTCGTTACTTGATAACAAGCTCAGTGGTAGTGGCGCGTCAAATCTTTTAACGGGATTTGAGCACAGTATTAACGGGCTTTTTGGCATGCCCAGCGTGCCATCTTTGATCTCTAGCACACTATTTCCCAATGTAGATTTAGAAGCATTGCGGCAGCGTAATATCTTAGGTGAATTCGTAGTGAATAATCTACGTGAATACGATATGAAGTTAATGGAATTGCATAAACGTAAAATGTTCATCGAAGAGATGATACTCAAATTGCAAAGGGACAAAATGGAAGTGGATATGCAAACAATGCAATTGCAAAATGAGAAATTCTTCTTGCTTAATACCGCCATGACAGCAGCGGCCAGTGAACTGCCGAAACGCGAAGCCGCCGCCGCTGCAGCCGCAGCTAGAACATCATCTTTGTCGCCACCAGGCGCGTCGACAGCGCCACACTTAGACGCACAGCCATCTCAACAAGAGCTCCCAAATGGCAACGCGCGTACTATGCAGAGCACAAACGCAAATCAGCGTAAGCGTAAAGCTAACGATAATATTGGCTCAAATGCTAAGCGAAAACGCGGTCCACGTAAGCGTGGTGGTGCCGCAGCTGCTAAAAAGCGAGCTAATAAATCAAAATTACCAACTGAAACGGTCCAAATGCCAACACCCACAGCTACTCAAAAGACTCCTGCAGTTGGTGCAGCTACGCGCGAACGCTCTCCGAGTCCAATCGTTTCAGATATGGAACAGACTGTGAGTGACGTAGAACCACCATTCAATTTTGCAGATATGCCCTGCTCTACTATTGATGTTAGAAGTCCAATGACACAGCTACATTTATACGAGCGTTGGTTAGTAGCCACTGGTGAAGATGGTCGCTTGTATCAGTTTTGCGCCAAGACACTCAAAATGGAAAAAGAATTCGCCAAACACAGTGAAAATATTACACATTCCTATTTGTGCTGCGAAAAGAAAGTGCTATATACAACATCACTTGATGGGTATTTGAAAAAGACGTCTTTGGAGGTAAGTTTGAAAAATGACAAGTATGTATATTATATTTTTATAGCGATGCTAGTAGTTGAAATAGGAAAGCATTTATTGTGGAACGATTTTCCGTTATCCCTCTACAATTTCGGTTTGGAGACCAAACTAGTTTCTGCCGTGTGCAATCTTCATAGAAATGCTATCACCGTAGGCCCTTATTTCTGATCTTTTGAATCAATTCTTTACACCTTTTTTACTTATCTGCACAGGCCAGAGTTTCCAGTAGAGCTCTTGTTAATCGACTAGTCGATTAATCGGTTAGTCGATTACCAAAAATTGTCGAATTCGCATAATCGACTTACCCATCTTTTTCTAACCGCTCACAAACAACCAGTCGACTAATCCGTCCGTTATCGATCAGTGGGTTTCTTTCAATAAACATTGGCTTTCTATATTTTTGAAATAAAACTTCTTTTGCGTTCATTTCGGAGTAAATGCAAACATCGATGTAACGAAAAAGCAACACAATCGTTGAACTCTAATTTCAAACTGCAATGAACAGAAAAAGCGTCAGTAGAAGGGAGGGGCTGCCGGGGGTGGTTTACTAAGATTTACATTAATTTTAAGATTTCGGTTAAGTTTCAAATTGCGGTTGGGATTAGTTTTGAGATAAAGATTGGGATTAACATTCAGATTCAGATTGCGGTAGAGATTAAGATTGATATTGGGATTCAGAATTAGATTAAGAATAAGATTAGAATTAAGATTCAGTTAAAGAGTTAGGTTAAGATTGAGGTTAAGGTTAAGATTAGGATTAAGATTAATATTAAGATATGGAATGAGATTAAGATATGGATTGAGATTAAGTTAAATATTGAGTTTAAGATTTAGATTAGGATAGAGATTAAGATTAAGATTAAAATTAAGACTGGGAATAAGGTTAAGATTAAGATTGATATTGAGACTATTATAATTTAATTTACGATTAAGATTGAGATTGATATTTAGATTAAGATAAATATGATTTTTTATTAATATGCCGAAAAATACTGCTACAATATGGTGAGCTATACTAGGATAAAGAAGTTTCACTTCAGCGGCGCGTGAGGTGCATACACAATTTTTTTTTTTAATAGTCTGAGCTATCGCTGAATCCATCGTAGTCCGATTTTCGTAAAATCTACTTAAATACAATCACGGAATTCGAATTGTTAAGAGCTCACGCATTCAAAGTATATGCTACGTTCGTAGCTATTGCTATTTATTGTTAGCATTTTCGTAGTTTTCACGAAAATTCGGACTAGATGGATTCAATGATAGCCCTGACTATGTTTATTGACAAAGCCCAACTGCGTCTATAAGAATGTGGCATATTCATAGTAGAACGGCAAGGCTGATCTGGATTAACGGCGCAGTTGATTTGATCAAAATTTTACCCTGAAAAATATCGATTAGTGGTATGGAGATACTACTCGATGGTTAGCGGTTAGTCGAATTATACTTCAATGAATATACTTTGAATTCGAGCGGTCTAACGAATTATTGCTATTCGACTATCAAACTACAAAAAAGTTGCTAATCGATTTAAAACAGAGCTGTAGTGTCGAAGCCTTGTTACTCAGCTTATCTTAGAAGCGTAGATGTACATAAATTAACAATTGGCACACTACAAATATAACTTTACTCCAGTCACCTTCCGAGATGCCTACTGCGATTTTCCCTATATTTCACTGCCATTGTTTGGAAATCCGAAAATCCGTCTTAGTTTCTGCCTTCGAAAGGTAGGGCTGTTGGAATATCGAACACTTCAGCGATGAGGGACAACCATATTAGATCGCTATTAATAAACGGAGTGATCCGCCTACGAAAGAGTCGTAGGTCTACTGCCAAGGCGTAAACTCAATTAGTTTGCGAGTGGTTTTCTTTACAGATAAAAAAAATCGAGCCCTCTGACTTCCAAAAGAGTGATGTTTATTATCTCGTAAATTAAATGAAGGCGCATTCCTCTCTTGACATTAAGCACCTTCGTTGAAGCAGTTTTGCCGTGTGGCACTGAGTCTGGCAATGCAAAAGTGCTTTTCGTAAAAGTAGAGCGCCTCAGGCTTTCCTTTTTTGACCTGTTTTAACAAAGTTACATTTAGATAGGACGAGGATGATGAGACCTAATTTTCGTCATAGGCTTCACCTAAAAACTAATACATACATATGTGTCTTCTGTGTCGAAAAGGAAGACACAAGATTTATCAGTTTTCTCTGATTTCTGAAATTCATTAGAGAACTAGGAGGCTGTGAAGAGAAAGAAGTTAGCGCAGGGTCAATAGGGAAAATGCTCAGTAGAAGGATCCATAATGGGAAGAACCCAAAAATGTAATCTTTGGAGTAGTCAAAAACAATGTTTATTTATTGTTTTCATCCATGCTATTTGAACGATTTATATGTTAGTCTTTTTAAGGGTTTGATGGAAGTTCCTTTTATTGCACAAATACTCGCATTTTTTTTTTAGTTGCGAGATGGCATTTCAAGGGCCCGTTCCGACATTCTAAAGAACATCCCGGCCTACGATTTACAGCACTCATTCCATATCTTGCTTCAGAAGTTCAATAAAATATTTGATTATGGTCAAAGCGATAGAAAGTCCAATCCTGAATATTTTCAAAGTTAAAGGGCTAAAAATTGAAAAGCTGTGTCGATTTTTTTTTTATTTTACACAATAATTACATGCTATGTATATCTTTCCCGGCAAACAAGAACTTCAAAGTCAAAGACGTTTTACGTGTGTCTTTCTGCTCTCCTCTTTGCTGGTATCTTTAGTCCCAACAGATTTTCGCCAACTAAAAAATTTTAACATAATTTCTACCATGCTTATTATTTTACAATCTGTTCGTTTTCTTTTGTTTTGTTTTCCTTAGAACTTCGCCTTGGATATCCAGTCTGTATATCTGCAAGAGCCATTACAATGTATTGAAGTGCAATGGGGTTCGGCATACATCGGCAGCAGATGGGGCAACATATTTACATATGACATTGCGGTAAGTTAAAACAAAAAGGAATTTTGTATGTGTATTTTACAACACTTTTTATTTTAAAAGTATATATATGGGGTGTTCCATACCAAAACGGACGGGGTTCACACTTCATGTGTTTGATTTGTTTCAAATTTTTATATTGATGCATAAATATAAATCTTACTAATATTATAAATGTGAAAGTTTGTATGTTTGGATGTTTGAGAAATCATCACGCGGAAACGACTGANTATTGATGCATAAATATAAATAATAAATAAATATGAAATTTGGGCTTGATTAATACATATTTAAAAACTTTACAGCGCAAAAACAAAAACAAATCGATTTAATGGGCAAGGAAAAACTTTGATAAAAAGCACACATACACACATCAAAATTCCTATGAAAAGAAATATTTAAAAAANTATTGATGCATAAATATAAATCTTACTAATATTATAAATGTGAAAGTTTGTATGTTTGGATGTTTGAGAAATCATCACGCGGAAACGACTGAACGGATTTGCACGAAATTTTTTACGCAGATAGCTTATAGGCCAGANAATGGAAAAAATTATTATGGTAGCTCTGAATATTGCGCAATATTTTTGCTGAAAGAAAAATTTTTAAAATTCGGTAATGGTTTGGGGAAATAAACTCTCTTCTTTATAAGCCGAAAATCCAATCGTAGGCCTTTGGCATATCATGAAGACCTAGCTAGCAAAAATAACTGCCGATGCATTTCTTGAGTCGAATTGATTTCTAGAGGATTTTTTGTGCAATGTTATCGAAGCAGAGCCATTTTCTGAATTTTCTAAATTTTATGCCGTAGCGCGTAAAAGATTTATAGGAAGCGAAGAAGACTCTGCATTATATTANTCGAATTGATTTCTAGAGGATTTTTTGTGCAATGTTATCGAAGCAGAGCCATTTTCTGAATTTTCTAAATTTTATGCCGTAGCGCGTAAAAGATTTATAGGAAGCGAAGAAGACTCTGCATTATAT